CCCCCCCCCCCCGCCCCGCCCATCTTTTTTTTCAAAAAAAATCAGTCCTTACTGGTTAAAAAAGAACGCATTTTTCAGATTTTTCTTTGTAGACGAATTTCTTCCACCCAAAAAAGCCAATTAATGGACTTTTATTGACAAAAGGCGACTCGTTGTCGTTGTCACACTGTAAAAAATCTCGTGGTGAAATTCGGAGTAAATCTCCTTCCAAACTCTATGTCTTGCCCAAAGAATCTGGGTGATATGAATGCGTAGAGGAGTCTACTCTTGGGGGGGGGGGAGCTCTATTTTACTCAGGAATCTTTGAGCGATATACATATAGACTCTAAAGCACGTACCCCATTTTATTTTTCTGAAGGTGAACAAATAGACGTAAAGAAGCTATACCCATTCTGACTTGAGCCCTGAGAGCCACATGAACACATGCATGACAGGGATCATGCCGCAACGGATTTAGTTCCCTTTTGTTTTAAATACGTCCAAATCAACCTTGTTCCTTGATGATTTCACAGAATTTTCTTTGCAGAGTTTCTTTGAGAATAAAACACATAAGCCTTTGAGAATTGACCTTGAGTAGTTTTCCATTTAAAAAATAAAGTAGGTAGGACAAGAATGATGCAACATCGCAAACCAAGATACTTAGTTCTAGACTTTGGCCGTCGTATCGTACTTTACTTCCAGATGTTTAAGAGTGAGAGGGCAAGGCTTGTAGATTCGTATGATCGAATCGTGACAGTTGTAATAAAATGTTTAGGTTTTTAGAAATACTGATATCAAATAAAACCAAAAACATGTTACGGTTCAGAGTGTATTTTTGGGAGAAACATTTAGAGAACATTAAAATATAAATTTAAAAAGACACCTCAAAATATCATAAAAGGAAATTTTTTAAAACAATATTGAAATAAATCACAGCAACAAATAGATTTTACAGATGCGTAATCTTAAAATTACCTTGCCATTAACACCTCTTTAATTATGGTGGTTTATCAGACTGTCCTAAATTATGATCTGCTGTGCGATAAATAAAATTATTCCTAAAAATTCAAATCTAAAATTCATCCTTGGATGAGAAGTAAAACTATTGATAAATAGTAAACTGGTTGGGCAATTAATACCAATACATGAGTACATTTTCCCAATATGTTTGCATTATAGACTAGATAAAAGTATTTATGTGTAAATTAAAAGATTTAAGTACATATAAAAAGAAATGTAAAGTAGTTAACTTTTGTCTAAGTCAGTTCAAATCAATGAAATTATACGCTACATATTTAAATCAAGAGGTACGATTGGGAATAATGAGCATGCATTTACTACGAGCAATGCTAGTTTTTGTCATTCTTATAGACTTTTAAGCGTACCTGGACAGTACCATGAGTACATTTTAGGTACATTTTAGGTACATTTTCTTAGATAAATACGAGCAAGTACACACAATAACTTTTATACTTGGTTTGCAGTATGAATTGTGTAGCAAAACTATATCAGACTATTATAGAAAAAGTCTGTTAACAAACAAATCTACGAATGGTCTCTTAGACTTAAATATTTACAGAAAAAATTAATGTGCAGGGGACTAAATATTCGCTGGAACTAAAATACCAGTAAAGGCACGGATAAAAAAGAATGATACCTAGTGTAGGCACCACTTATTTCGTCGATCTTCTGACGAAGGAGCGTATCTGAATTTCCGCATGAGCCCCACACTGAAAAAAAATTCTCGGCGTTTTTACCAAGGTCCGTTGGTACCTTTACCATCAATTTTTTACCAATTATTGGTAATTTTACCAAAACAGACTGGTAAGCTTACCTAAAAACCGGTATTTTTACTGTTTTTCTCGGGTAAGAATACCACTTTTATTGGTAATCCATTCCCGGTAACTTTGCCATTTTATCTCGGTAATTCTACCACAGCCGATAAAAAATATTGGCGTTTTTACCGGGGTCCAGTAAAATTACCGAGAAATTTCAATAATTTTACCGAGATTTCTCGGTAAAATTACCAATTCCATAAATGGTAATTTTACCAAGAAAAAACTGGGATCAAATAGAACCCTGAATTCTTGATAATTTTACCCTTTTCTTAGTAAATACACCGAGATTTTTTTTTTCAGTGTGGCCTTATAGGCAAAAGATGGCTCACGTCAGTGGCGTGGCGTGAATAATCGATCATCGATATCTCGCCGTTTGAAACTATGGTAAAGAATCGATTACTAAGGTGTTCGCTGCGAACACCCCGATAATCGATCTTTTTTCGTAGGTTTAAATGGCATAACAATCGATATATCGCAATTCACGCCACGCCACTGGCTCACGTGGCAATCCAGATACGCCCTTACATCAAAGGGGCAACGATATGTGCCCGTCGGAAAACCAAGTAAACATACCTAGATTTCAGGCGATGTTCTCCGCGGCTCGAATGTTGAATCCATATTAAATAACCTTGATTGATAAACTCCTATCTTACAATGGAGATGTTGCATGTGTGAGGAATTTGCGATTTGACTACTGATTCTTTAGTAAGTAAAAGTTCGCGAGAAACAAGATGGTGCCACTGGTTTTCTCCGAAATCAACCCCCGAGCTCAAAAATAGCTCTCAAGTTGAGCACAAAATGGAGGGGATATCCCACGCTATCCTGAGAGTCCACCTCTACATCAAAACAAACTCTCCATGCAAAGATAGGGAGAAAATACATAAGCAGGGTTGCCGCGTATTCAGTTTAGAGTCCCCTAATAAAGTGGCAGCCCTGACAATGCCTGACATGCCTGAGTGGTGCCCTGACAATGTATTTGCTCCCTATCTTTGCATGGAGAGTTTGTTTTGATGTAGAGGTGGACTCTCAGGGTAGGGCGGGATATCCCCTCCATTTTGGCCTCACTTTGAGAGCTTTTTTTGAGCTTGGGGGTTGATTTTAGAGAAAACTAGTGGCACCATCGTGTTTCTCGCGAACTTTTACATGAGAAACAACAGTCAAATCGCAAATCCCTCACACATGCAACATCTCCATTGGACGCATTTCTGTCAAACGGATCTATGTGCATCAAGACATAAGTCATGAGACCCTTAAGAATACACGCATAACAGGGCTCACGTTATAATGCACATAGGTCCGTTTGATAGAAATACGTCCAATTAGCGATGCAATTTATCGATTCAGGTTATTCGACAACCATTCAACAATCCTTTTGCAGCGGCTCGATGGTTGAATCGATATCGAATAACCTTGATCGATAAATATCACTGATAAGATAGGGATTTATCGATTGGGATCTATCGATAAGTAATCAACAATCGACCCGCTGGACGTCGAATATCAGCTACTTTACATGTTTCATGGCTTGTTATCTACGTGCGTCCTTAGTAAAATGCTTACTAAGATTACTGGAGTCTGTGAATTTCTTATCACAGTAAGTGCAAGAGATTGGCTGGTCCGCAGCGTGCGTCCTTGCAAGCCTGATTAAATGATCGAATTTGTTGAACTTCTCATCAGAGTATAAGTGCACGAGAATAGATTTTCATTTGTAAGAGTCCTTAAATGCTTACTGTAATTACTAGAATCGGTCAAGTTTTTATTAAAATAAGTTTAAGAGAATGGCTTGCCGACCGTGTGCGTCCTTAAGTGCCTACTCAAATTACAGGATTTGGTGAATTCCTTATCACAATAAGTGCACGAAATTGGTCAGTCGTTGGAGTGCGTCCTTAAATGCGTGGTAAGATTACTGGAAGTGGTGAATTTCCTATCACAAGAAGTGCACGAAACTGGTCAGTCGTTGGAGTGCGTCCTTACATGCGTGGTAAGATTACTGGAAGTGGTGAATTTCTTATCACAATAAGTGCACGAAACTGGTCAGTCGTTGGAGTGCGTCCTTAAATGCGTGGTAAGATTACTGGAAGTGGTGAATTTCTTATCACAAGAAGTGCACGAAACTGGTCAGTCGTTGGAGTGCGTCCTTACATGCGTGGTAAGATTACTGGAAGTGGTGAATTTCTTATCACAATAAGTGCACGAGAACGGCTTTTCGCCCGTGTGCGTCCTTAGATGCTCATTTAAATTACTGGATTTGGTGAATTTCTTATCACAATAAGTGCACGAGAACGGCTTGTCGCCCGTGTGCGTCCTTAAATGAATATTTAAATCACTGGATATGGTGAATTTCTTATCACAATAAGTGCACGAGAATGGCCTGTCGCCTGTGTGCGTCCTTAGATGCGTATCTAAATTACTGGATTTGGTGAATTTCTTTACACAATAAGTGCACGAGAATGGCCTGTCGCCTGTGTGCGTCCTTAGATGCCTATCTAAATTACTGGATTGGGTGAATTTCTTATCACAATAAGTACAAGAGAACGGCCTGTCGCCCGTGTGCGTCCTTAAATGCGTATCTAAATTACTGGATTGGGTGAATTTTTTATCACAATAAGTGCACGAGAACGGCTTTTCGCCCGTGTGCGTCCTTAAATGTTCATTTAAATGACCGGATTTGGTGAATTTCTTATCACAATAAGTACAAGAGAACGGTCTATTTTTGTCACCAACATTCTTCATAGGGAGCAAGACACTCTCCTCATCCTTGAACACGCAGTTGTCGCATTTCTTGCTAGTCTTCTGAGCTGTGCCGCAAGGTAAGACTCTTGAATTGCAGACAACGCACACGTCGAACGAGCATAGATTCAGGGTTGGCGACCGAGGTAGTTTTTTCTGCTTTAGCTTTTCTTTTTCCTCCTCTGATAGAAATCGCATCCGGCAGACTTTACTGTGATTTTGTAGGTGCATCAGCGAAGAATATCCCAAAGCGCAGTGTGGGCATAGGAAAACAGACTCTGTATGGAGAAAATATAAAGAATATTCTATTATTCTCAAAAATTTGAGTTCGTTTTCAGAATTTCCATATTTCTGGCCACAGCAACTTCAACATACTTTCTAGCATTGAAAAAATACAGTCATTTGCTTCTGCTTTTGCTCTCGCTCTAGCCAGCACAAAGATAAAATTTAGACGTTGGTGTCATAATTACCAGAATGTCAATAGTACCGTAGTTACGAGTGACTCAAAATAAAATTGGCATGGATTTTTTTTTTTTTTGGGGGGGGGGGGAGTCTCTTGAAATCGGAAGGTCGGACGAGACTAGCAAGTAGTATAGCACGTCTCAGAAGGAGGTCATTTTAGAGTCGTTAATTCCGATACGCCGTATCGTGGAACAAAATTGACCAATTTTACCGTGTTTTTTTTCGTTTGATACCTTATAATATTTTTTTGTTTGTTTGAGACTTCAAATACGCGAATAATTTTCCTTTCACTATCATATCAGTTACGATGGAATCGATAAAATATCATAGAAACGAAAATTCGATTTCAGATGTCTACAATTCGACAGATCGCAGATTGCTAGAATTACTAATAAGTTTCATGACCACAACATTGATTACAGAACTTTGTCCTGAAAAAATCGACCTTTCTCTTATTTTTATGATACTATATTTTGAAAATCCCTTTTTCAGAATTCAAAATAGTCAGAAGTAACAGTTTTTCAACGCCTGTATTTTCTCATTAACCATGATTGGCGATTGAGATGAACTGGAAATGGGCGTTTTTAATTTTGCAGATAATTTTGTCTGCTACAGTAAAAGTGGGAATTGGCGACAGATTTCCCTTTGATGAGCTGAAACTGACCAGTTTGTGGCGGACAAAGAAAAAAAATTACATTGTTCAAAATTTCACTCAGTGTGTAATGTTGAAACTTACGTGGTAGATCCTTGTTTTCTTTAAAATTTTCGATTCCTAGCTGCTCTTCAGCGAATTGACTTCCATAATAGACGAATAATTCTCTGTTAGAGGGTATGTCATCAAATGCTCGGTAGTAAATTTTGCCTTTGTACTGGTGTGCAACAAGATTCTGTTCGTAGGTACTCCTGGCACAGTTGACAAATCGCATCCAGTTACTAGTCGCTATATCTTGTGCATCAACAAAGCCTATCGGCTTCCTTTCCTTTTTTATCTACAAAAAAATAAAAGTAATTAAAATCATGACCACAGTATTGTTACTTTTGGGAGATCATATGTTTCAACTTTGTGTTCTTAACACTCAAAAAAGTGAGCATGCTACATAAAAGACCCATGATCTTCTTAAAGTAAGGTTTTGCGAGTGACATGATTAAAAAGCCATACGAGCATACGATAAAATGTTTCAGAAATATAAAATACGTCTGAAACTCTTGCAATTGAGGCGTAAAAAAATTTACTGTATATTTTATTGCATGGGATTTGATTCAATTGCATCAAAATGAAAGAGAAAAGACTAGAAAAGAAAATTTTCGGAATCAACACGGTCACGTTTTAGAAAGATCACTCAGCGTTCAACAATATCTTAAACAGAATCACGCTCAAAACACAACAAAATCGAAAAAAAGATCATAACGCCGGGAATATGATTTCAATAAATTTGTCATGAAATTTTTGGAAACATCTTGAATTTTGTTTTCCAGGAAGGAAACTCCTAGGAACCTCGTCCCCTTTTTTGGACTACAATTTTGAATGAGAAACTATACTCTTTCTGACTCATCCACTGAAGCACCCATCTGAAAATGAGCCAAAAATAGTTTTTCCTTGTTGCAAAATGTAGTACAGGTGAGATATACTGAAAAAAATTTCAATTGTGAGCCAGCGCCTGCTTAATACCTCTCTGCTTAGCCCACGGTTGACGCGTTCATTTTCCCCTATCCGGCAATTTTTTAGCGAGTTTTGATATTGATAGATTTTTAGTCAGCGTGTATCTTTGGCTGATTCGTGAAATAAAGGAAAGTAAATCTCAGAATCCCGGGTAAGTTGGGCAGGATATTTTTTTTTTTTTTTTTTTTTTTTTTTTTTTTTTTTTTTTTTTTTTTTTTTTTTTTTGTATGATGTAAAAAACACAGCAATTCCAGCTGAAGTGAGAAATACTGATGCTCACAAAATTTCATGGAATATATCCGATCAGTGATTCTTACCTCCCAACTATAATTGGTCGAACCATCTTCAGTTTTCTTCCGAAAAACACCCTCGTAAGGGCCGAACAGGGTATCCTTTTTGATGGTCTTAGTGGTCCAGACACCGTCACCTGCTCCCGGAATTGAAGAGACGCCAACCATTAAACCTTCCGGCACAGTTTTTAGAGCGCGTAGCTTATCATCCTTGTCAATAGGAACCTATAAAAATGAGAGTATACCGAGAGATAGATATTATTGGCTTATTAAATTTTAGGGTGACATAATGATAGATTCACATCAGAGACTGGGACAAAAATGTGAAAGAGATTTAAACATGCCTCTGATACAATGTTAGTTAATTATACGTGATTTAGTGGGAAAATCAGACATGGGGGAAATAGTGGGAAGGGGGGGGGTGAAATAAGGCAATTAAATATAATGGACCACTACACAAGGTACGAATTTCAGCATTCTGATACATGTTTCTTAACCAAAATCTCACGTAAAATACGATGCGCACACCGAACATTACCGAAATCGACTCCTTACGAGGATATTTAATGATTCTTGATGCGTGAATTCAAACCACCTACTCATGAAAACTCAATGCTCTACGTAATTCACATCGCGCGCTAAATGTATCATAACAGTATCTGCGATTTAAAAATCTGGCAACCTCAATTTTGACGCTTTGGCTCAACTATAGCAAATTGCTTATAGTTTGAACAACACATGGTAGGAAATGAACATTGCTCGATTGAGAAGTTTGCTGAAACCGTTGTAGTGCGCGATTTGACTCACGTAGAGCTTTGGGTTTCTTGTGGGCGGGCACTTCAAATTCCTCGTAACCAATGTGAAATAAAGACGTTGATATCTTCGTTAGGAGTTAGTTTCAGTAATATTCGTTGCGCTAATCGTGTTCAAAGTGAAATTCTACCTAAGAAACATGTATCAGATTGCTTAAATTCGTACCTTGTCCAGAGGTCCATTGCACGCCAAAAAATGTTGATGGACTGAAAAAATTAACCGTAAATGTCGATTATTGATCTGATATTAATCAGTTCTCTATAAAAGTTGGAGAAGGGAAGTGCAAAATCCTAGCAACAGTCCAATGCTAATAGTTTTTGGTTGCAAAATTTAGTTCAACTACAGAGCAACAAAGTCTCGATTTCACCACGCTTCCTACCTACTATCACTGTCCTCATTATCGATGGGTAAATGTGAGAAATGCGGGAAAATTGCGAGGTCGCAAATGTTCGCTCATGTCTAATATGTTTCAATAATTACCAACCAACAGATTCTCTTTTACTCGTACCCTGATAAAAATTGGCAGTAGAATCTGTGTTCCAAAATACCATAGACCTAATGCCGGCTGTAAGATTTCCAATAGCTTCTGTAGCCGGCTGTACAATTTTTTATAGCATTTTATAGCCGATGGCGATTAAGCAACAGCACGACTATAAAGTTTATGCTAAACGTTACTAAATACGGATACTAGGACTTAATTAGTTTTTGCTCTACCGCTCTCTTTTTGTGCCGTAGTATCTTGATTTATTTTGCGAGGAAAGCTCCGTACTTTTAAAGGATGCCTATCATTCTTAATATGTTGGAGCGCCTTCAATTTCTTATGAAACTGTGCAATACCTCTGGTGTGAAATAGTTGCTTCAGACGCCGTGGCACGCTGCAAAGAGGCGGGCGGGCAGAGAGCGCGCAACGCGCCTTGGCGCCTACAAACCTAACAGGGATTCTTCACGCGTTGCGCAATGCGTGAAGTATCCCTGTTAGGTTTGTAGGCGCCAATGCGTCGCCGCTCTGCTTTGAGTTAGGCTCTAATATTTAATCTCGCGGAGTCAGCGTTTTTCAACCCATGATTTTGAAATGTTTGCACACTCTGTATGGATTATTCTCATTTTTATTATGATGAAAAAAAATATGTTTTAAAGGGAAGTATAATGTGTGTTTTGCAAATATTAAGGTAGTTCCGTATCAAACTTAATGATTTCCAAAGCACACGAATTTCTACACAATTTCTTATAGCCTTTTGTAGCCAATGACGATAAAGTGTAAAGCCCGGCGATAGGAACCGTAGCCCGACTTTATACTTTTTTATAGCTTCGTATAGCCCGGCTATACGATTTACTCCACTTTCTACGGCCAGCTATATGATTTTCAATAGCCTTCTTTAGTCGGCTATAAAGAACTCCTATGGTATTTTGAAACGCAGCTCCTATCGCCAATTTTTACCAGGGTAATTATATGTGAGATTAATTTTCAGACATTCAAAAATATTCACAAACGATTTTATGGAGGTACTAGGAGGAATCCTAAGGTATCGAAGATCATTCCGGCATATTTCAGGATTTTGAAGATTTTGGAACTATGTAACGAAGATGACCATATTCCACCCTGAGTCATCGGTACCATAACCCCTTCTCACTGACCATTTTGGTCTTGTTCAAAAAACGTATTTTATTTGATAGTTTGCATTTTTCAAGTTACTTCAATGGGTGATTATGAAGGGCCGAAGCCCTTCATTACGCAATTTTTAGAGTCAGGGGAATCCATTTTGCGTTACAGGCGAGTTAAAGGGGGAGGAAGACCTGACATAACATATGTCTTATTCATCAACGGATTTACATTTTACGGCGAAAAGTTCAAAAAATTTAGTCAAATCACAAAAAATACTCATTAAAAATTTCTAAAGAAAAGCAACTGTTTTTCATAATATGAATGTCAAGGAAATTTTGCCATGCAATGAAGTTGCGCTGTTTGTCCTCCTTAAGTTTTGCCATCATTTTCTCTCTCTGTGCCTTTTGTGTTAGCTGCGCTAACATTAATACATAACATACATAACATTTTTGAAGGTTTCTATTAATATTATGTAAAATAATCCCTAGAAAAACTGAAATTACACTTACAGGTGTATCCTTTATATGCAGCATGTGCATTTTGCAGCCCCCTTCAAAAACGTCGTGGCATGAATCGCAATCTGTAAAAATCAAACGAAGTAGTCAAATAATAAAGTAGGAGTATACGAAAAATCAACGATTAATCGATTTGGACTGTTTTAAACCTACATAGGTACATGGATGAGCTTTTCTGCATGAAGATTTGTAATATGAGCTTGGATTTTTTAAAATTAAGTACTATTTTTATGATATAACATGATTAAGTACATCGTGATGGTACAATGCGCAAACGGATAACTGAGGGGGCGTAACTTCTTAGCAGCGTTGGCAGGTTTGATCTGAAAAATAAATTCCTCTTTTCAGCAACGAGTAAATATTTTTATCTGAAAATTTCAGAGAGTTTTCGTCAAACAATAGAAGAAATTCCCAAAGCTTTGGGTAGAAAATCTGAAACTTTTCCTAAATAAATGAATATAGTCAAGAGAAATATAGCAGCACTGAAACTTTTTGTATTCAGTTGGTTTCTCATGGTGATTTTAGGATTTATTTTGGGCTGATGTGGTACGCAAAAAATATACGTACAGGGTGGCCTGGACCTACCTAACAAGGACTTTTTCTCGGTTATTTTTGGTCAAACGAAGACGCGGCACCGCGCAAAGCGCGGATCCAGCCAGTTGAGTTGTTGTATTAAGGGATATCTCATCCATTTACGTACTAAAAAATGATATGTGCTAATTGAAACAATCAAATGTTACAGCCTTTGTTCAGGAAAAAAAAGTAATTAATTGAATTGACATAGTTTCGAAAGGAAAAACTGCCGTTTTATCAAATCAAATTATCTTTTCTCTATTTTCACTGAGGTTTCATTTGGAGGTTTCTAGTGGCGTATTTTAAAAGCACACAGAGAAAAATGAACTTACAGATCAAAGAGTCCTCATCAGGAACAGAGGGTTCTTTATAATTTTTAGGCGTAAGGGCACGCCGTGGGTATCTTCCACCACTACTTTCACCTGAAATTTGAAATCAGTATTTCTATTCAAAATTCGATAAGTTTGGATGAAAAAAAATGTGCTATTCATACTATTATTTGGTCAAATAGAGTTTAGATACTTTCGTAACAAAAATTCAATGAACGTTTGTGACGAATTTGAATAATTGTGCATACATATGGAATAATCCGTGAGAGGATATGTGAAGTAATTCATAAATTACTTGTTCCCAGGTTTTACTCATCGCTCACTCTTCTCCAATTCATAACTTCTCGGACCTCCGTCATGCAATCTCTAACCCATTTTCTCGATCACACAATGCTCAACAAAGCTCTCCCCTTTTCCCCATCTTTATGGATTTTTCGACCAGTGGCCAACAATTAATTTCCGTCTCTAAATATGCAGCTCCAATTTATTCTTTATTTCCATCAAATTTCAGAAAGTGCAAAGACTTCTCTCCATGCCTTAAAATGCCTTTCATAATGCTTCTTTGAAATGTTTTATCATTTCCCTACTTTTTTCAAAAACACAAAAATATATATCATCTCATAAGTACTTGAAATGAACCCTTCTGCAACTACTGAGTGATGCAGGCGTTGTACTTTGTCTGAATTTTATAATAATTTTAACGAGGTGGTAAGCCCTACGCCTACGCGGGCACTGAACTAAGAGTTACTTCGTGGTTTTCGTTCCTTGGGATCTTTAATTGATCTTTCAATTGATGAATTGAAATAAACATAGAATGATCATATAAATGACCTTATACGAGCATCATTCACAGATCTAAGTTGTGTAAACCTTAATTCAAACACAAAGAAATGAAAATTTTCCTATAACGTTACCTGTCAACACACTTGATTTGGTCATTGCTACCGGAGGGTTTGTTCCGATACGTCGTCGTTTTTTCATCATGAAATTTGGAACTACAGGCTCGAGACCTGCGAAAAAATATTAAAAGCATAACTGAATGACGGCTGGTGAATGTATGAGGACTACCTTCAAGTAACTGTTATTAAAGGCACACTGGAAAATGGACACACACAGGGTCACACTCAGGGTATTTTTTTTTTTTTTTTTGATCGATTATCTTTGATCGATTATACTCGTTTATATTCAATAATGTCGATCGTGTGTTTTCGTTTCCACCTTGTTATCATTGCATTATCATCAGCACGTAAACACCGGGGGATATATTTTATTTTTATTTTAAGTTTTCATGTATTGTTCATTCAGCAATTAATAATGTTGTATGAAATCGAACATCCTGCATCTGTTTTCATGTATGTTTTTAGCCTTGTTCTCTCCAGTCACAAATGTGAAAGTACAGCGTGGAAAGGGCGCGCGTTGAACCGCACCGTCGCACA